GATGTGTTTGTTCGCAGAACTACAATCGTGGATGATCATTGGCAATCCGCTGAGGTTCAACAAGACCAGGAAAGGGATCCGGATTTGAAGCTTATCATCGATTGGAAGAAGAACGACCGTAAACCAACGTGGCAGGAAGTCGCCCAATATTCACCGAATGTGAAATTGTACTGGGCCCAATGGAATTCCATCATCTTAAGTGACGGGCTTCTAAAGCGCGTTCTGGAGTTGCCAGAAGGGGGGGAAGACCGGAAGCAGATAATAATCCCCAGAAATAGGATACCAGAAGTGCTGCAGGAAATCCATGATGGAACTACTGGAGGACATCTTGGGGTGACCAGGACGCTCGGAAGACTTAGGGAACGGTTTTATTGGGTCAACAGCCAACGAGATGTGAAGGAATGGTGCAAGAAGTGCGCCGTTTGCGCGGCAAGCAATGGACCCCAGAAGCGCCCAAAAGCCCCAATGCGACAGTACAATGTGGGCAGCCCATTTGAGAGAATTGCAATCGATGTGGCGGGTCCATTTCCGGAAACAGAATCTGGAAATAAATACATCATCGTTGTAATGGACTACTTCAGCAAGTGGGCGGAAGCGTACGCCTTGCCAAACCAGGAAGCTGCCACAGTGGCCGATGCCCTTATTAAGGAGTGGATTTGTCGTTTTGGTGTGCCAATGGAGATGCATTCAGACCAAGGCAGGAACTTTGAATCTATACTGTTCCAGAATGTCTGTAAAATTCTTAACATTCGGAAGACGAGGACGACTGCATTACATCCGCAGTCTGATGGAATGGTAGAACGAATGAATCGAACGATAAACCGGTACCTGTCCAAGGTAGTCTCTGATCACCAAAGAGACTGGGACCGCTTCCTTCATCTGTTCCTGTTGGCGTACCGTTCTTCTATCCACGATACCACCGGCCAGACACCCGCTAGCATTGTTATGGGGCGTGAACTTCGTCTACCTTGTGACCTGAGGTTTGGTTGCCTACCAGGGGATGATATTGCTGGAGAAGATTACGTCAACAATTTACGTAGGAAAATGAGCGACATTCACAGCCGAGTTCGTTTAAACATCCAGAGCGCCAGTGATAGAATGAAAGAGGCATACGACATCAAGGCGGAAAATGGAGGATTTCAACCTGGAGACCTAGTTTGGTTATACAACCCTCAGCGCCGTCGTGGTTATTCACCGAAGCTGCAGACTTCTTGGGAAGGACCATACGAAGTCATGGATCGCATAAATGACATCATCTACAGGATCAGGAAACAACCAAGAGGAAAGCCGAAAGTGATCCATTTCAACCGATTGGCCCCTTACGCTGGAAACAATGCTCAAATAGACGATGCTAGAGTAAGGAGAGTTAATCCGCCGGAAGACGACTTGCCTTTTGAAGACTTCATGTATTTATATTCGAGCGGTAAAAAAGCTCGGTATGGTGTCACTCGAGAAAAGCAAAAAGATCTGTTCACGGTTTCGGCCGATTACTCCCTGGCTCACTGTGTTGCGGAAGACCTTAGGATGTCCAGGGGAATAGCGGTTGTCTTTAAAAACAAGTTTGGACGGGTCGACGAGCTACGAAGGCAGAGTCCCAAAGTTGGAGAGGTGCTTGAAATGGTGGATAATGAGCAGATAGGTAACCGAAGTATCTTCTATCTGGTAACGAAGCAACTCTCCAATCAGAAGCCAAATTACCGTGACGTATGGAATGCCTTAAATAAATTGAGGGATATCCTTTTGTCCAAGGACATCATGAACCTGGCGATACCAAAGATTGCTTGTGGACTTGACGGTTTGGACTGGAGAATAATTAGAAGTATGGTGGAAGTTATCTTCAGATTTAGTGGCATACACATTCTTGTCTGTTGCCACAACCCTAAAAGAACAACCGGAAGGAAGACCGTAGACTGCTACTTCTATAGGACGTCACAATGCAAGTTTGGATCTCTATGCAAATATCGCCATGGAGCTGAGGACCATTTTCGGGACGAAAATGTTTTAAGACGGGGGCAATGTAGCGAGTACCGCTCTGGATATCGGAGTGATGACTCATCGCCGGTTAGTCATCGCCGATGAGTCATCGCCGGTGACTCAGCGCTCGAACAATCGAGAGTGTGGAGCTCGCTGGAATGTTCCAGAAGACCTTGGCGCTGAATATATAAGAAACGGAGCAGCACACGGCAGTCAGTTGAGATTTGATACGCGCGAAGAAATAAATAAATATAAGTGCAAATAAATAAACTTGAACAGTAGTGATATATAAATAATTAGTAGTTAAGTGTTTAGTTTTATAGTTTTATAGTGTTTTAAGTGTATTTAAGTTATTAAATAAATAGTTTAGTTCGTTAATTAACCAGTGCGTGTTTTTATTCACACTACGAACAGTTAAAAACGTTACAATATAATATAATATAATATGATACAATACAATAAAATAAAATTTCTTATTTATGTATATTTTATGTTTGTTTTTGCAAAATTAATAGTTTTATGTAAAAGTACAAAAAAAGCCTATGAACTATTTCAAATATTATTTAAATCCGTTGTGGTACGTTTATATCTGATAAATTTTTGGGTAAAACGATCTTTTTGTTAATAAGTTTGAAATGATTTTTTTTCCTTTGGGTTAATGTATATTTATTATTAAAACTGCAGAGAGTACCTAGTTTGTTTTTATTAATATTTATTAATATAAATAAATTCCAATTTTATTGATAAGGCGTGTAGCTAGCGTATTTGTAGGTAAGCTATCCAACTACAATTCAAATTAGAATACTATTTTCTGAATCGTAGTAAAGTATGGCCTGCTGCGGTCGCGCATACCCTACACCATTCTCTACTATGATTCAGAACATCACAAACTGCAGTTTATCCCATGGGAGATGTGCTGAATCGTAGTAAGGATTGTATTGTACTTAGTGGCGTTTAATTTTGTCAATCCTTACTGCGATTCAGAACACTATGGCTCTGTATCGTAGTACACAATGCCAATACGCTACCGGGTTCGATTCCCGCTCACAGCCCTGGGTGTTGTGATTGTTTATTAAGGCAAAAATACATATAATGTGCTGGCTAAATAGGCTGAAAAAGCCTAAAAGCCAATAAAACTTTAAAAAAAAATTGTTGACATTACTTACGTTAGTATCCCCATTTGAAGAGTTTGATAAATAAATAACAGTGACAGCAAATTCAGCGGTGCCAATGTAGTAAAAATAAAACCTTCAAGGTGGCGGCTAGTGGATTTTGGGCACACCCATATCTCAGTTATTAGACATGGGACCCACATCAAATTTATATGAGTTTATAATGACATTATATAGACAAGTTCTACGCAAGCAGAATTTTGAAGTTTGCGAAAAAAGTTAGTTTTTAAGTGTGCCCCCCAGCCTCCTGCCCCCCCAAATTAGGATAATTCAAATTAAAGTGGTACAGTATTTAATTCACTGAAGTTTATCAACAAATTTCAAATTTTATAAAAAAATTTCAAGTATTACAGATTTTATTTTTTTAAAATTTAGTAAAAGAAATAATACAAATTTAAAATGGTATAAAACCTTTAATTCTTGAATTTTTTTAATAAAATTTGAAATTATTCGATAAACTTCAGTGAATTAAATATTGTACCACTTTAATTTGAACTATCTTAATTTGGGGGGCAGGAGGCTGGGGGCACACTTAAAAACTAACTTTTTTCGCAAACTTCAATTTAAATTCTGCTTGCGCAGAACTCGAATAAATTTGATGTGTGTCTAATAACTGAGATATGGGTGTGCCCAAAATTCACCTTGTATTTTTATTAACAAATTAATACTTTATTGCAAATTAGAGTAGATATCATTAAAAACTAAAATCAACATAAAAAGTAAATAAGTGACAAAATAAATTGTTAATTTGTTGTAATGTCAAAATTAAAGTTGAAAACTGTCATATTTTTGCGTTTCTTAAGTTGGCAGCACGAAATTTGAAATAATAAAATATGGTAAAAAAAATTTCAAATAAAATATAGGTACTTTGTTGTTCGAGTTTAATAACGAATTTATGGAAAATAACACTTGTCAGAGTTATTATTTTTAATCAAAATTAGTTTCCAAACTATTGAAACAAAATAGGATCATGTTGATAGCTTAAAAATCGATTATTAAAGTTTATTTTGTATGGACATTTTATAAGCGAATTTGTGAGATACAAAATAAAAAAAATTGAAATTATTTGTGAATGTCTCAAAAAAACTTATATTAAATTTTGAAGACATTTTATGGCAACTCTTCAAATGTAGGTAATACCTTAAAACCTAAAAATGAAAAAATCAAAATTCATAAAAAATGTTAAATTTATGATATCCAAATGTAATGTAGGTACTTAGATAAAAAGAATTGTATTTGCATAAAGATTAGCTATGACCCTGACCGCAAGCGATTTTTGAATGTCGTTGCTACCATAGAAAAAGGATATAAGGTTGCTACTGAGCTATTGCTCCCAACTGTACATTGAAACCGAAACCATTAAAGCTTTTGTCCACCAAGGAAGAAGAATAATTTTAACAATTATCAAATTTATTTTTATTGGACACGAACATTTGACAAAATGTCCCATAAGATTACACTGTTTTCTGTGTACAAATTTACATTTTTTTCTCTTGAAGATGATATAAAAATGTTAAAAGTCTCATACTTTTCTGAATTATAGAATTGCTTGATTTTTTAAAAACAACTTTAAAAGTTGAATGCAAAGATAATACACCCCATTATCTTATCTATTATATGGTTTAAATATAAAAATTATATGGTTTAAATATAAAAATACTATACTCCACTTCTCTTTTTTGCACTTGTACTCTTAAAATTAAGAGTTGAACTAAATTTTTATTTCAGCATAATCTAACAAATTTTCAGGTTACATAAAAAGATATCACCTGTGGATATAAAAAAATATTAAACATCTTTTCATTGGGCAATGTGGGTAGGTATTTAAATTTATTGATTAAAATTAAATGCATTTATTCTTTTAAAAGAAATTATGTATTATATTAAACTTACTTATAATTAAAATTTATGAAGTACAAAATTCATTAATTGCCTTATACTGGTTTATAATCTAACTTGCTTTCTAACTTCTTGTTGTCTGCCACCTTCCTTACAGCCTTCATGAAATCTTCTTGAACAACATATTCCCTTTCTGATCTGATTGCAAACAAACCTGCCTCAGTACAAACATTCCTAAAAAAGCAATTATTAATATGAAAATATTATAACAGTATAGTATTAATTTTGTACCTTAAATCTGCACCATTGAAAGAATCAGACAACTTAACAATTGCTTCATAATCGATTTCACCATGTTTGGCTATGGGACCAGCATGAATTTTAAGAATTTCCAATCTAGCCTGTTCATTGGGAAGTGGAATTTCAATTTTTCTGTCCAAACGGCCTGGACGCAAAAGAGCAGGGTCCAAAGTGTCAGGTCTATTTGTAGCCATGATCATTTTAACCTGACCAAGAGAATCAAAACCATCCATCTGGTTCAACAGCTCCATGAGGGTACGTTGGATCTCACGATCGGCAGATGTTCCCTCAGAGAATCTTCTTCCACCAATAGCATCAATTTCATCCATGAAAATAATGCAAGGTTGATGGTCTTTGGCATAGTTAAACATTTCTCTGATAAGCCTGGCAGATTCTCCAATGTATTTGTCAACAATTGCACTAGATACAACTTTAAGGAAGTTTGCATCCAATTGAGAGGCTACAGCCCTGGCCAAAAGAGTTTTACCAGTACCTGGTGGTCCATATAATAAACAACCTAAAATAAAAAAATAATAACAAACTGTGAAATAAACAATATACAAAAAACTACCTTTTGGAGGAGTAATCCCAACTCTCATAAACAATTCAGGGTTCAACAAAGGAAGTTCAATGACTTCTCTCAATTCCCTGATTTGTTCTGATAAACCACCAATAGCAGAATAAGTTACATCTCCTGGATCTTCGTGACTCATGTTGTAGACTAGCGGATCAACTTCTCTTGGCAAGTATCTCATAATGGTTAAAGTGGTCATATCCAAAGCTACACGGGTCCCTGCCTTTAATTTAGCTTTGTCCAACTGTCTGCGGCACCCCACGACATAACGAGGACCATTTGTTGCCTTTACAATGACTAAAAAGATGGTGTGATAAAATCATAACCTCAGAATGACTATGGAATAAAAACTTACATTTTTCTTCAGTTAACTGTTTTAAGACTTCCCCTACAATTTGGCCCATACTCTGCAAAGCCTTTAAATCATTCTCCGACTTATCATACTGTTTTGTTAAATCTTTTAATTGTTCTCTCACTAAAATATATTAGGCATTACAATTTATGGTTAAAGCAATTTAAACGTTTTTCTTACTTTCTTTTAAGCGAGATTCCACTTCTTTATGTTCCAATAATTTCTTTCTATAATCTTGAAGGCCCATCTCACGTTCAGGCTCCATTTGGGACATTTTTAATATCAAATTTGACAAATTTATTAGCAAACCGACGATGACTGGCAAATCAACGTAGACGGCGTAGACGCTGCATTGCCAGATAGCAAAAAATAAGTTTTGTAAAACTAATAAATCTATAAATTATTTAAGAATTAAAAACACCAATAAATCATATTTAGTTTTTTAAAAAGTTTTATAAAATATTTTATTTACATAAGAATATTTATTTAAATTAAAGACATTTAAAGGTATTCCTGGCAACACTGCAAGCAAAATTTACTTTTAAAATAAAAATAGATCAAACGTATTATAGAATTAGAACTACTACGAATTGAATGTCATTCCCTTGACATGTTTGTCGGTTTTTGATGTAAACAAAGCATTTTTCTGAAATATCTCAAAAATGGGTGCACCCGGGACTGCTATGGACTCGCTGAGTGCTGCATTAAAGTGCAATATAATCCCAAATCAAGAATACCTTCTCCAAGGCTCAGTTCTGGATCAGTATGTAGAAGTTTTATTACACCGCTTAAGAGGGTTATGTGATAATGTAGACAGCGGGCCGGAGTCCTTTCAAGATCACGAATTATGTTTTACGCTAAGGGCTGCAAATCCGAGTCCCACCTCGATAGCATTACCTTTGAGGGTTAGAAGGGCATTAGATGTGGCTGATGCACCTTGGCAATTAAGATATGTTGGTCAACAAGAGTTGGGAGACAAAAGTAGGCCTACAGTGGTGAGATCCAGTATAGATATGGCATGTACTTCCACAATTGTAGAGTTTTTAACTGAATTGGGGTGCAGAGTGGACTTTGAATACACAGCTAGAGGGTACATGTTCAGAAAGGGTAGAATGAAGATCACTGTTTCAAAGATATTTAAAGTTGGGGGGATGCCTAATAAACCAGAGGGATTGGAGCCTATTTCACAAAGTTACTTGGTGGAATTATCTGTTTTGGCGCCATCTGGTCAGGATGCCATAGCAGAAGATATGAGGATTTTTGCTGAACAATTAAGGCCATTGGTACAACTCGAAAAAATTGATTATAAGAGGCTAGGAAATTAAGTAAGATATATTTGTAATTATGTAGGTTTAAGATTATTTTAATTAAACTATAAGATAAATAAATAGGTTTTATTTACATACAATATAAAAACATTATTACACATCCTCCAAACTTTTCTCAAGTTTTTCCATGTGTTGTCTTAGTATTTTATCAAAACCAACTCCTCTCATTCTTTCCACATTCCCCAAATGTACTTTAATATTAACAATCAATTCCTTTAAGTCACTTGGGATAAATTTAGCCAAAATATTCATCAATTGAAAATAAGGGATGGTATTAAATGCCATATGTTTTTCAGTAATTGCAATAATACTTTGTTTAAAATATTGATTTGTAGATTGATACAAAGGAGAACAAGTAATAGCCTTTACAACTCCAATAGCAGCATTTCTTTGAGAGTTAAATATCACAACTTCAAAAAGGCCATATACAGTTTTATCAACTAATAACTTAAAAAGATATTCTGATGTAGAACATTCAACAAAATTATTTATGATTTTTAAAGCTTTCAGTATATTGGCATCACTTTCTTTTATAGGGTGTTTAAAATATGCCACTGCAAATTTTTCTAGTATAGAATTAGCAGTAGTTTCATTTTCAATGCATTTCAGCATAGGAGAATCTCCTGTGGTGAAATAAGGCATAAATTTTGTTAATAGATCCCTTAAAGTCCTTTCTAAGAAGCTATCAGGCACTGTATTTAACTTTACTATAGCCTCAAAGTACACATTCCATGATTTTTTTATTCCATTCAACACAAATGGGTTCAGAGCTTTTCCAACCAAAAAGTCTGAAGGCAGTAATAGTACTGACACCAACTGTGTCAAAGGGCATGTACTTTTGTTTCTGTAGTATAATAAATTCCCACAGTGTAAAAATGCTTGTGACATCACAAAGTATATTCTTACAACCATAAGTTCATTTTCTGGTTGAGATAAATATTGGGATAACCATTTGCTGATAGGTCCAAAACAAGAGTCCAATAACTTCATGGTGTTTAAAGAGTTTTCCTTGTTACTTCCCACATTTTCAATGAAAGATAGTAAAGGATCTCTTGAGTATTCTACAAAGCTTACTGTATGTTTTGGGAAGGAATCCAATTTGATGACACTCCTCGTTAAATCAGAAGACTCATTTGTTAGCAAACATATTTTGACCCAAGCTTGAATAATTAGAATTTCTTGTTGAGGCGTTAACATAAAGTTATCAGGGTACATTTCCAGTATGACTGACAAAAACTGCGATGAAATTTTAACGTTTACATGCTCACTGTTGAAATAACAAAATGCTTCTTGTGTCATTGATGGTATAAGTAAACTGATTTTAGCTGCAATTTTTCCAATAATTCCAGGGGCATTAACTGAACCACCAATTTGTTTAAGTAATGGATAAACATGGTTTTTAAAAGCATGCTCATATAGTGACCACAAATCAGGACTTTCAACCTTCTCAAGCAAATTATAAAGAATACCCATTGTAAATTCCAGATCTTTATGGTAACATTGTGTTAAATACTTGAAAAGCCATTGGTCAATAAGTTGCCATTGATTTAATTGCAAGCTCACACTGGCATTTATTATTGTTAATAAATTTTCAATAAAACTTTTTATAAAGTGGAAAGATTTCTGATTGTTTGAGGCTTCTTGTAGCATGTTTACCATACATGTGGATACTTTTTCTATGTTTCTACCTTCTTTGACATGTCCTATTATCTAAAATATGCAAAATAAAGGTAATTATTAAGAAATATTATAAAATTCTTATACGAAAGCATTTTGCATAATTTTTTTTATATTTAACTCTATTTAAATCAAAGTCAATCTTTTCTGTATACTGCACAGGAAATTTACATGGAAAAAAATTAATTTAAAATAATTTTACACTGCATTTTTTTGGATCATTTTACAAATATTGAAAAATTAAAATAAACTTTTGTAAATTTTTTTTTTAATTAAAATTTTATAAGGTGCAATTCATAAAGTACGCCTCACATTTATAGGGTTTGCACAGAAAAGGCCTATTTTCCAAAGTGCTTCCTTAACCCTCCGTTACTCGCGCGGCGTCTATCAGACGCCACTGAATCTATTAGTTATAGACTATAACTTATAGTAACTTTTGAAACGAGATAAATAGGGACTTCCCCGGCCATGTACCTTTCTTAAGTGGATAGTAGAGTAATCTGCGCTCAAAAAAAACAATAATTTAGTAGGTAGATTTAACATTTTCAAATTGTTTTTTAAACTTTTTTATACATTTTTATTTGCATTTTTAGTATAACCTTCTAATAATTATTTTATAACGCAAGAGTCTCTCAGACGCCACGCGAGTATCGATGTTACGAAAACTGGCGCGAGTAACGGAGGGTTAAAGAAATTTGGGCTTAGAATAATATTTTAAAGTTTACTCTTCATCTCTATTCTTTAATCTGAGTCATACTTACAATAGCAGTATAAATGTTCCAAAACATTGGTGAATTCTTTTTCTCAAGTGGTAAACTGTCCAAAAATAAGATCATCTTTTTAGACAATTCATCAAAATTAACACTAGACAAACATAGAAACAAAATAATAACATGTTTAATTCCAACATCTCTTAAATCTTTGACTTTATTGGGTCCCAACTGTGAATAAATTCTTCCTTTCATTTTGCCCCAGTGCCTGGGATATTCTCTTAAATGTTTTACAAGCATTCCGACAAAATATTCAAAGTCTTCCTTACAATCTTTTGGACACCACATAACTGTATCAACAGAGTTTATTAAATCTGTGGCATTACATAGGGCATAGTTTGTTTTATTTGTTACATTTAATCTTTTGCTAAAATAGTCCCATATTATTTGGTACACTTCAATTTTTGCAGAGTTAATCCATAAGTCACAAATTAATGGATGAATATTAGAAAAAGTTTCTAACATGATTTCAGAATCTGCATCAGCTAATATTATTTTAAGTTTATTTTCCAACAATGTATAATTTGGCTTCACTCTTTCACAGCTTTTTCCAATATTTTTACCATTTAAATCAAAAGTATGCAAGAATGATATTTCTTTTAATAACCATAAAACAAATACTGTGTTTTCATTGTCTAAAACTTCATTGAACACCTCCCAAAATAATTTATTATTATTTTTCTCACTTACCAACTGCATAACCAACCATAACTTCTTCACACAGTTGCATATAAACACAGAGCGTTTATCATTTTTTTGCCTTGAATAACTTTTCTCACTTATCAATATTAAATCACTCATGATACACTTCAATCTCTTCTTAATAATATCATTAGACTTAAAGCAAACATCGGCCAGAAGAAAAAAACAGTTGACATCAAGGAAAGTGTGAAAATACAAATTGGTAGATGATTGTGCATTATTTATGCATGTGGAAATCTTTAAAATAAACTCACGATCCAGCAAAACCAACGGAATAACAGATGGTAAAAATAAATTAAGCTGCTCAATAGCACTTGAAATATATTGTTCCTTTAAACATTCACTTTTACATTCCAGTATAGAAGAGATTGTAAGTTCAAATACAAGGTTTATTATGTCCCTGCTGTTTAAAAGGTCTGTGTGTACAGCTAGAGAGTCGTATAAAGGTATATTTTGCAGCTGATACCATTCTCGTTTCATTAATCGCACTAAAACATCAATTTCTTCAATGCAAACGTTTTTCTGGAATGTATGACCTCCTATTTTTACCCACGACGTGTTTGTATCCGTGTTTACATCGAAGTTGTTTGTTAATATTTTCTCTAATAAACATGGTATTTTTATTTCTTCTGTGCAGCTAAAAAAATTATTCAACATATTTTCTGAGGTTAGGCTTTCAAAATTTTTGGCGCCAAACCGGCTTTACAACACATTCTTCTTCTTTATCTATCTGAGTACAGAGTAATGGCCTTTAGCTAACTTTATATCGAATTCTAACTAGAATCCAAGGGAGCAACCATATACCTATAGTTATGGGCAGGGGGGTGAAACTAATATACGAATATGCGTAACAAGCGCCTCCCGAGCAACGTTGCCATATTTTCTTTTTGTGGCTTAAGTCATCTTTTTTATTAATTATTTTAATTGTCAGTTTTGACATCTGTCAACAATAGAAAGAATATTGATAACGGTAAAGATCTATTTCTAAGCTTTTAAGTATTTTTTGAGTTTTTTCATCTGTATTGGTTTCCCTTGAAGTTACAGTAAGTATATACAATAAATCAGTTGCTTTTATAATGTTTTTTTGGAGATTGACATACCTGACATTAGGCAACCAGAACGCATTGTTTTTATGTCTAAACAGTTGGCAAAACTTTAGTAACTAAGATGCTGCTAACTTAATGCAGAAGCCTTTTTGACACTTAATTTTGTTTGTTCGTTAATATTTATTTCTGTCTTGTTAATCATTCAAATTAACAACAATAAAAACTGTGATAGTGTAAAGTGGTGTTTTAATACAATTTAACCTCGAAGACCCACTCATGTATGTTTTTTTGGGCCAAAACCGATGCAGGAGGGAAATTTTATACCTTCTTTCACTTCTGAACCCATTCAAAATACAGATGCACTGTTTGTATATTCTTTAATTTATTTTATTGTTAAAATTAGTGTATTATAACCATTTACTTTTTAAAATAAATAAATCTTTGCTACTATTTTATTTTATTGGTCAAATTTAAATAAATTAATATTATAATTATTAATATATACAAAATAGATAAAGCCGGCCCTGTAGTATAAAAGTTAATAAAATATTTGGAGTACGGCCCTAATTGGCAGGCGTTTATGACGTTTGTGTTTCTTAAGTTTAACACAGTGGTCGCCCTTCTTATATTCTTTTTCTATGGTTATGGGTATATGGGAGGCTCCCATTGGGAGCAACACGTGAGGTCTAAACTCGTGAAGTCTAAACTGGTTCGAACTAAAATTTAAAATGTGTGGCAACGTCGCACTTCAAATAAGGTTTGGTTTACATTTTTCTTAAATGAAATGTAAATTTTCGGTCGGGCTTGTTTTGGTGGATCTCTGATATACCCATAACCAGGTCTTCCACCCTGCCCATAACTAACAAAATTTACAAAGTTATTGATGCCATCATAAAGGTACATTTCAAATATCTATGATAGATATATGCATCATAGAACAAACCATGCATTTTAAGAGCAGCGTTGCCAAGAACACTCTTTAAAAGAGTCACAGACATATCCATAGAAATAATAAAAAGTTTTTATTTTTATTAAAAACCTCTCTGAATAATACCGGATATTTATTTTAATCGCTGTAGTCCTACCATTTCTCTGCTAAAAGTCTTATTAAATCTCCCAAATCATGCTTAATAACTCTTATTCTGACTTAATAGGTAAGTATTATTCAGACTTTTTAAGAGAAAGTAAGACTTTAAAAACTCCTATTTTTACTTATTAAAACTTTTTCGGAGAAAAATTTCTACAAGAGAGGTTCTTTGGTTCCTGCTTTTCTCACTAACCAACTAAAATTTCGATTACCTATATTTCCGAGAAAAGAATCGATTTAATCGATTCGATTCCTTAAAAAATTGCAATTGATGATTCTTGTAAAAAATTGCAATTGATGATTCTTGTAAAATAATCAGTTATTCTTGTAAAATAATCAGTTATTGCAAAAAAGAATCGATTAAAAATCGGCATTACTAGGCCATGTCAAAGATTAAATATGTATACTATACTATAGAAAGAGTATATTTAATCTTTGGCCATGTTCTAGTCTTGCACATGACCATGTCTACCTATCCTATAGGAAGTCAAAGCCACAAATCAGAGTTTCAGAGATGTCTAGTAACTATAGACTCTAGTTTCGAAGCTCGACTGTCGAACCAAAGAACACTGTGTCGAACATTTGCAGTGAATATAGTTTTGAAAAATTATTTACATATACCTATACTGGTTAATTGTCATCTTCTTAAGATGTATCTCGGATAAATGGAGTCCAAAAGAATTGTTTTGAATTAGCAGTTTTAATTGACGTCGCTTGTAGTTCTTTTGTAACGTCAAAAACAAATAAAAAGTTTCAGGAAAAAGGAAGTTCCTCCGTCATTTTGAAAACAAAATGTAATTTTGGCATTTAACAATTTTGTCTAAATCCAGACAGTGACAAGAACCAGTATTTTAGCAATAGTTTTTATTAATCAATTTATTAATTAATGTTCATTGAAGACATGAATGTAGAAGATGAACCAAATTACGAAGACTCAGGAAACGAAACCAGCGGAGACGATGTCGATTTTGCAATTGATGTTGATGCGTCTTCCCACAAAGAACTACAATGTTACGATGATGAGTATCAGTATGAAGTATTGTCCACAGATGATATAGTCACACATATGCAAACCTGCATTAAAGAAGTAAACACAGTGGTTCAGATTCCAGCCACTGTAACCAGAATCCTCCTAAATTATTTTCACTGGGACAAAGAGAAGCTGATGGAGAAGTTTTTTGATTCCAATCAGGATGAGTTGTTTAATGAAGCTCATGTTATTAATCCATTTAAGAAAATTACTGCAGTCAAGCCAAAAATGTCTCTGAAAGTGTCAGGGACGGAGGAATGTGATATTTGCTTTATGGTTTTTGCACCTGGACACATGACTGGCTTGGAATGTGGCCACAGGTTTTGTTATCAATGTTGGAATGAGTATTTAACCACCAAAATAATGGAGGAAGGAGTCGGGCAAACAATTGCTTGTGCAGCACACAGTTGTCCAATACTTGTTGATGATGAAACTTGCATGCGACTTTTAAGAGATCCAAAAGTTAAAACTAAATATCAACATTTAATAACAAATAGCTTTGTTGAGTGCAATCGTCTTTTGAGATGGTGTCCCAGTCCTGACTGCAATTATGCAATAAAGGTTAACACATTTAAATACATACTTTTAACAGTCTTTAGTTTGTTGATAAAATATTCTCAAAAAAATGTCAAAAGGGGTTGATATTTTGACATTTAAATTTAAAAGTGAGGTTATTTGGCTGTTTCCTGAAATTTGCGACTACTTTCCAGTGCTGCCATGTCTCAAAAACTAACGATTTTTTACCAAGGTCATGATTTAATAGTGGACTGATGGGCCTGCTCATGACTAATCAAAATAACTTTATTACCAAAAAAATTTAAATAACAATATGAATATTAGACAGACATTGCATAACATATAAGGTTCGTTTGATCAAGCACACAGAACATAAGATCCAGGGTGGTCTTCCACCCTGATAAGATCAGTTCTCGTTAGTTCTAGGAATATTCGCATGCGCAGTAACAAAAATCTGTTTGATCAACCCTCAACAATTTTGAGTCAAAATAGGAAGTAGTACTACTAGTCTAGTAGCTCTAAGAACTCTTGGTCCTCTTAGAGGACTCCTCTATTTGATTTTTAAGCAGTTTCAATTACTGCACTTGTGTGTATGGGATGGAAAACCTACCAGCCATTAGGCATTTTCGGAAACCTACTATGGGTTACTTGCCCAGGTCCCAAAAGTCACGTTACCAGAACTCGAAGGTTACTCAGGGCTGGATGCTCCCGTGTACGAGTTTTGGTTCGTCCCGCGCATGACGTCACTTGATGAGTAGTTGTCGTGAAAATACACGAATAAAAGTAATATTATCAAAGAAAATAGAGAAATATCTGGACATAGTGCGTTTTTATTAAACTTAATATAGAAGAAAGTGTTATAATAAGGTAATAGATGCTTTCAGTCCTTGATAACATTTAGGGTTGTAGTTTAAGCGTTGGTGTTTTAAATTAAACTTATAGTCACTGTCCAGAAAATGTTTATAGGAAACAGAAGCGGTCTTAACGTTAATATTGTCTATTATTTTTGTGGCATTTAAACACTGTTTCCACAAATCAAACTTTTTCGGGAATCGATTAAATTTAATGTTTTTATTTAAAGGGTTTTTCTTGGACTGGTTGTCCGAATTGCATCCAAATATGCCACACCGCATTTTAATAAATGCAATTGGCTCTACACCATCTAAAACACAAACAAAACAAGTTAACGCAACACAAAAACAATAATAAACAAACCGAACAGGTTAACACAACGCAATAACAATAATTTTAACGCTGAAAAGTAATTCGAACCTTACCGAACACAAAAACGACAAGTTAAACAAAAAATAGAGCAAGTTAACATCCAAAAGCATCGCAAAAACAAGAATTTTAGCAGCAGTTAATTAAAAAGCACGTTAAAGATTTAAAAACACTCATCTTAAGGTGTATGTATCTTGAAGGTTACTTACACGATCACTTTAGTAAGAGAAAAGTAGGTACAGGTTACAAACAGGGTTGCAAATAATGCATTATTTTTTTAATGCATTAAGGTTTCAATACACATTATTAAAATAATGAGTCATGTCACACGACTCATGTGTTTAATTTTCATTATGCATTACTTCTTTTTTAATAAAAAATATAATAAGTACTTATTATATTTTTTTTCAATGAGTAATTTATTCTTTTTACACTCATTTTTAATTTGTAATGAGTAGGTATTTTGAAATTTTTAATTACAATTTTTTTATGTTAATGAGTAATGTACTCACTTTACATTACTCATTTTTTTATATTTTTAATGAGAAATGAATGATTATCGAGTTACTCATTTTTAGTGGCAAGGAGGATATTTTTATTGCTTGACACATTTTTTCAATTTTTGTTTTGAATTCTTGAAAATTAATTATTCGTTCAAACCATCGCGGATTCAATACTTTTTTGAGTTTAGGTCGCCTTCTCACCTAATTATCATAATCCCACTATCAACCCCGGCTTAAAATTTCTTGAGTGGATAGAAGTTTAACGTAAAAAATTCGCAAGGAAATCGAAGAAACAGTTTGAAAATTAAAATTTTAAAATTCGCATGCATAATATGCTATGGATAATTTTAATACGGAAATTTTAAGAAATAAAAATTTCAATTCGGACCATTATTAAAGAAATTAGCAGCAAAAAACAAAAAACGCGATTGTTTTGAAAATTTGATATCTTTTGAGCAATCAAAAAAAAAATACTTACCCAAATAGGTTTCCGAAAACACCTATTGTTTTGCAGTACGCTCCGCGGAGATTTGGTCTAAAATATATTTTTATACCAAATCTCCTTAAGTATAAATATATATATTTTTTTGTCATATGCTCATGGTGACAAGCAATCAATGTAAAACATTTTTCATTGAGGTTAAAGTTAAAATTTAGAAAATTGCAGTTTTTTTAAACTTCAATCTCATCAGGGCACGAGTTAACTTTTTCAAACAGCTGAAAGTCAAATTGCAAATTTTAGGGTGCCAGAAGATCTGCAAAAAAATCTTGGAAATTAAAAAAGAACAAAATTTGGTCCCAGCTCATTTGGCTTTTAGCCCGGAGAAACGATCTTTTAACCTGGAGACCCGGAGATCATCCCCGAAATCCGGAGTCTCCGGGCGAAACCGGGAGTGTTGGTAACACACTAATGGATAAAACACAAAAAATGCACCAGTTCTGAACGAGTTTAACGAATGGAAAACGCTATTATGCTCGATAATAAAGGTTTTATTAGTTTTTTCTTGTAAATAAATAAATAAGTAATCATTATCGATATCTTCATTAAAATCTAAATTTTTCATTTTCGTTTTTAAATTTTCACAACATATCACAGAAAAACAAACTATGCCATAATTTAAAAAAATAAGTTTAAGTTGCGAATCTAATGCCATAATTTTTTTAAAATAAGGTTAAGTTGCGATGCAAATGAAGTTAAAATAGGTAGGTACCTAATTCGAAAAAATGAGTATAAAAAGTGTTTTATCAGACTTCCTTTGGAACTGGAAATTATAACAGTACCAAGTCATGTTTATTAAAACAATCAGAACAGATTTTCTTTAGTTCTAGAACCGTTCAATTTTGGCAAGATCAAACGAACCTATTTGCTTTTGTAATTTTTTGCCTATTTTTTTGACAATTTATCAAAATTAACTTATATTTATTAGACTGGGCCAAAAAAATCAACTACTTTTTTTTGAAAATTATATCGAAAATATGGTTTGGAGTGACAAAAAAAAATTATTTGGGAAAGTTTGAGTCCATAATATTAATATTAAGAGGTCTATCATCGCAATTTTAATATTTTTTTTCCTAAGCGAGTGTTTGTCTCAGGACTCCCAAACCATTGAGTTTAACAAAATTGACTGAGATATTTTTTTAACCTGTAACCGGTACTGTACGACTTTCAGGTCATACACGGTACTAAGGGGTCTGAGAGACACCTGCCTTTTAAAATTATAATTTATATTATTTTTTTTATCTGAGGCTTTGGGGATACTAGGAAATATATAAAGTTAGAATATCACCAAAAATAAAAGAAAAATTTAAACAAATAGGTTTTAATCAAAACATGTACAAAAAGTGCAGTAGTGCAAACTTTGTGATTAAACTATAAAAAATATTAAACCAAACAAAATAAAACGATCTTTATTTCGAAGAATATACCTTAAAAAATAACATAAACAAAAAAAATTTAAATAAATCTTTTTTTAACAGAAAAAATAACTGCTTCAAACTATTGCTAATTTTTACTATTATTTTTTCCATAGTAACTTTTTTGTTTTTATTTCAAATTCTTAAAAAATTTCAAATTCTTCACTATCTGACCTTATAAAATTATTTTCTATAGACTCTTCACAGACAAGTCCTGAATCGCTGCTGTGATTATTTTCAACGACATAATCACTATAATAGTTATGTAGTATACTACAGACTTGTAATAATTTGTCCATTTGACAATCCAACTTGTTCAAAGTCTGAGAGCATATTGATAACTGCTCAACTTAAAGTATTGGAAGCGACAGATTTTTAAAACAAAAGGTGAGGGTGGGACAGGGCTTTGTTCGTTGATGAGTGTCTCCCAGACACCACAGTACCGGTTACGGGTTAAGGAAATTGAATGATCTACAAAAAAGGTTAAAATGAAATTTTCCGTCAGATGAACCGTTTCCTTAAAATCATGCCTTAAAAATTGGTATAGTTTTACATTTTGATCTTTTAACTTTGGAATTTTGTAATTCATGTAAAAATCCGTAACCAGAAAAAAACCGATCAATATTCTTATGGAAAATCAAATGCTTAACAAAAAAAGTCTCTTAACATTTTTGGCTAAATTCGCTCAATCAAAAGTTATTTAAGGTTAAAATTAAAGTCAGAACGAAATTTGTTTTTTCCTCTGTAGATTTATTTTTGTATGGTTGATAATTTTTTTTTATAAATGTGTATTATATAACTAATTAACAATTTCCAATAAAAAAATATGATTGTTATTATTTAAACGATTAAAGATTATCATCGATAAAAGAATTCAAGTTTTTAACTGACCGAAAAAAAATCTAGAGCGAAAAAAACAAGAATTTCGTTTTGACTTCAAATTTAACCTTGATGGAGTGAATTTAACCAAAAATGTTAGGAGACTTTTTTTGTAGAGCATTTGATTTCCCATAAGAATATCAGGTTTTTTTTCCGGGTACTGATTTTTACATGAATTACAAAATTCATTAAAAGGTCAAATTTTAAAACTATACCAATTTTTAAGTCATGATTGTAAGAAAACGGTTCATCTGACGGGAAATTCCAATCAAACCTTTTTTTAGAGCATTCAATTTTCTTCAAAAAATATTTTTAAGTCAATTTTGTTAAACTCAATGCTTTGGGAGTTCTGAGACAAAAACTCACTCAGGAAAAAAAAATCTAAAATTGCGATGATAGACCTCTTAATATTAATATTATGGACTCAAACTTTCACCATAATATTTTTTGTCACCCCAAACCGAGGGGCAAACTACTGATTTTTAAAATTAAAAATCGCTTACGAATTAACGGCTAAGGATAACAATAACAAGGGTAGTCATGTACAACGCGTCGCTAAGCACCGATTAAGCACCTATTAAGCAAGTTTTCCTTATTGATAACGACTGATAAGGAAAAAAATCTTAACACAACGTCCACTAACATTGAACATTGGTCTCTAAGATTTTAAAGTGGTTTACCCCTCGCCCCAAACTATATTTTCGAGTCTAATATTTGTTACGCTGCGCGTTTTTCCATGCTTCCTCAGGAAAGGAAAAGCATATACTTCTGAAAAATATTTACATTATAATCTTACTTACTCCTTTACAGGTTTTGTATGTGGACTCTAAACCAGTTTGCTGTAAATGCGGTCATGCGTTTTGTTTCTCTTGCGGTGAAAATTGGCATGACCCTGTAAAATGCTTTCTGTTGAAAAAATGGATAAAAAAGTGCGACGACGATTCGGAAACATCGAATTGGATAGCCGCAAACACGAAAGAATGCCCGAAATGCAATGCCACAATAGAAAAAGATGGTGGTTGTAACCATATGGTGTGCAAAAATCAAAACTGCAAAGCCGATTTTTGCTGGGTATGTTTAGGGCCTTGGGAGCCCCATGGTAGCTCGTGGTATAATTGCAACAGGTATGATGAGGACGAAGCTAAGGCGGCTAGAGATGCCCAGGAACAATCCAGAGCCGCCCTACAGAGATACTTGTTTTATTGCAACCGTTATCTAACGCATATGCAATCATTGAAGTTTGAACACAAACTGTATGCAGCTGTCAAAGATAAAATGGAGGAGATGCAACAGCACAACATGAGCTGGATTGAGGTGCAATTTTTGAAAAAAGCCGTGGATATATTGTGCCAATGCAGGCAAACTCTGATGTATACCTATGTGTTTGCTTATTATTTAAAGAAGAATAACCAGTCTGTGATATTTGAAGATAACCAAAAGGATCTTGAAAGAGCCACTGAATTGCTTAGTGAATACCTGGAGAGAGACATAACACAAGAGAACTTGGTGAATATCAAGCAAAAAGTGCAAGATAAATACAGATATTGTGATGGTAGAAGGATGGCTCTTCTAGATCACGTCCATGAAGGCTACGAGAAAGAATGGTGGTTATACAGTGATTAATTTTGATTTTTTAGGGACTATTACTGTATTTGGTATATTTTTCACTAAATCTTATTTATACCAATACATAAGATAACTTGATAACATTATATTTATTCACTTAATTTAATTGTCCAACCTCAATGTATTGTTCTAAACTTTACCCTGGTTTGGATTTTTTGGATTCAGGCTCATCATTGTCTGCTTGTGGTTTTGGTTGGCTTTTTTTGTAGGCAGGTGTTATCCAGTATGGATTCTCCTCAGCTTCCTTGGCAAATTTCAGAATGGCTTCTCTTGGGTCCTGGTCATCATCAACTCTTTTGCTAAGACCCAGGTTTCTTATAACAAAGCTGCTAAGGGTGCCACCGCTAGAAGCCACCCTTCCACCTTGACCTACGCAAAAAAAATATTGTCCATTTTAGACCAATTTAAATTAGAACAGTGTCCAAATAATGGTTACAGATTTAAATAGTACAAATTACCATACAAAATTTGTAACCTTACTGCGACTTTACTTTGTATAGAAAGAGGTTTCTGATAGACCTCACATTTTATAGAAAGTATTAAATTGCATGAAACAACCGCCAAAAGTACAAAGTATTTTTACCTGAAGTAATTGGTAAATCTGGCCTTTTGGACTTGACAGGATCCAGTCTGTCCTTCTCCATTTGTTTCCTACTCGTTTTCCGTCTCTCCTGTCTGAACATAGGCAACGCATGCGGTGTTATAACTTGTTGGGTGCTCATCATTTCGCTATGCTGCGCTTTTCTGTGTATTTTTACTGCGCACAAAGTGGCTCCTCTCAAACTCTTCCTCTCGTCATATAAACATTTGATTAGGCCGTTGCCGGTACCAACGAATAGCTGATTCAATTTTGGATGCCATATCAATTTTATGGTGTGCGAGTTGACCACTTCCATTTTCCGGATTAGGTTGAAGTTTGTGGCGTCGTAAAATAATATTTCGCCAGATTTTTCTCCTAAAATTAATAAAACATTGCTTCTTATAACAATTTATTTATGTAATTGTTTAGGTTTCTACTTTGTTTGGTCAAAAAACAAGGCAAATTTTTAGTAATGACGCCATTAAAGATAAAACAATAACCTTACTCAATGATAAAACTTTGAATTAATATAAATACATGGGTCACTCCCCAATTTTTTTGAGTGACCTCTGCGGATTTTGTGGAGTTTTTCTCTACATCAAAATAATGTTTCAATAAAAAAGTTAGCTCTTAATATTAAGTACTTTCGTAGTAATGTTTTTTTTAATTTTTTTAATTTGGCAATTTTTTAAAAACTTTTTATATATTTTTCTGAAAGATAAGAATTTTTTTAACAAAATATGACACGTCATATTTTTGTTAAAATACAATAAATAATGAGGTCATGTATCTGTCAGTTTAACACCAAGAAAGTAACAAGCCCCGTCTGAGCTACTTATAATACTTGGTCATTATTTTTTATTTTAAGTTTTAATGTGCTTCCAACAGGCACGGGCCTAATTAAAGGAATACACAGACAAACACAATAAACAGCCATACTCCTGGTGGGATTTGAACCCCAACCTCTCGGCTTGTAGTCCGCAGCGTTGACTACTACAGGGGCATTCCACGTTACTCGGTAATTGTGAGTAAAAACCACAAGTTATTAAATTAATATTTTATAATATTAATTTTATGGTGCTTATAACTTATTAAAAGCATTTATTATAATAAAAAATATTTTAAAATAAATTTTATAACGAGTAGTTTTTACTCCAAAAAAAAATTGGTAAATTACCCATGGGTAATTTACCAATTTTTTTTTTGGATATAAAAGGGATGGTATTCTAGGACGAAAAGTCCTTTGCGTTTTTCAATCTTCAATCTTTTTTTTAATCCGTTTGTATCGCCTTATTTCGGAACTTCGCGATGTGACACAAAAACGAAAAAAAAACTGATGTGCACGTCCTGTCGCATGGTCAGTTTTTTTTTGGAACGACGGTCCATCAGTTTTTGTGTCAAACTGACGTCTATAGGGTTTTCAAACAGTAGCGCAGTCCCAAAAGTCAATGTGTAACAAATTTTAAATAGATTTTATGGAAACCTATGGACAATTTCCTTGCCTTTAGCGCGTAAAATTAATAGAATACCGAAGTCGGTATGAAAACATAAATAAAAATTAATCTTTCTGTTTTCTTATGTTCGTTTTTTAAAACCGCAACGCCCCGCCGCCACTGCTAATCAATGCTTTCTCTCCATGACAGCATGGACAAAAATTAGCCGCCAGAATTTAGTGTGTGGCCATTGACATATGTCAATGTGACATACGTCATACATACGTGTGACATACGTCATAACGAAAGTATAAAGAGTCTGTAGGGACCCTAATATTAAAAAATTAAAATTATCTGCAACATAATATATTAAGAAAATTAATTTAATTGATTAACTAACACATTGCATTTTGAATACTGAAATTGAAAATTAAACAAGAATTATAAAAAATACATTGTTGTAGAAATTTGATAGCTATAAACGTATCATAATGTGAATTGACCTTAATTGTTGACTGTCACTTTCAGTTTTTAGTTTTTAGGTTAAGTTTTTTGACATTCTTTTTAGTTTGTCCCACCTCGAGTCCTTCTGCTAAAGCACGCCTGTGGTTGGCTTCTTTATTTAAGTAATAACTAATTAAGGGTGTCAGATCGAAAAACGCTAGAGATTTCGTCTTAGATTACCATCACCTATCCACCCTTTTCTGCTGTCCATGACTTTTGAGACACCCTATATGTATAAGGCTCCCAGATAACAATAATTGTGATTATTATCCTAGGTGTGGTCTAGGATTATTATTATTAAAAAGTCATGACGTAATTTCCACGCTATAAATACATTTTTTATTCGACATGAAATCTTTTTTTGATAATGTTAATTTTCAGGAATTCATGCTATGATAATTCAATGATCATTGGGGAAATTTTCGAGTTCACATAACGACAATCGCATCATGGGTAGTGAATGATGAACTCATCCCGTGATTTTTTTATCAGGCCATGTATATCACGTGTCATACATATGCGGGTAATCACTAAAATTCATGTGATGTAGGTACTCAACATGCACTCACAATGACTACGCATCTGTATGATATGATATACATGGCATGCTAAGAAAATCATGTAATGAGTTCATTATGCTTTACACATGAAATCACAAATGAAAGGGCAAGTGGATGAAGGGGTAGTAACAATTTTAATAATAAAGGACAAAAAATATTGTAATTGTAATTAAAAATAAATTTGGTATTGTAATTACACATTTTTTTGTTTGAAGGTGTCATGTTACATTTAAGTAACAATATTGATTGTAAATAAAAATAAATTTGGTATTGCAATTACAATATTTTTTGCCCTTAATTATTTAAAATGTTTCTTAACTCCTTATCCACTTGCCACTTCAATTGTTAGGTACCTGGGCTATAGCCTTGATATGGCCAGTCCTTTCAAAACAAAAGAATCGACCTGGGTTTTACATATAATCTTCATAAAGTAGAGTGAAATAATTTAATAAGATTTTTTTGATTTTAAGAAATAGTAGTTTTTAACACCAAACCTTTTTAACAGCCGAGTGGTGGCGCTACTTGCGATACTTCTTTAAAGTATATTCTGTATAGAAAATTATTGCTATAGCCACTTGCTATTAGCATTTAGAGCACGGTATTCTCCACAGCACACTAGGTGCGATATAGTCGCAAATTTCGAGGATTTTTTTAAAAATTATTTAAGGATAGTTCCACTGGCGGACACGGAATTTTAAACGTCATAATAAAAATGTTCATGTATAAATCTGTAAATAGCAAGATACAATATCAAGCATTTTTGCTTTCTCTGTCAAAATAACTATTGATAACCGGAAGTAAGGTTAGTGGCTCATAAAGGGATCTTAACTCGAGTTTAGATATGATGTCAACAGGATGATGTCCGCCATTTTATCATACCTTTATTTAATGACAACCCAGTTGCCACAATGCTGTCATTGGGACTGAAAATAGCATCCGTTGTGTCGTATCTGGTAAACAATCCGCCAACTTCGTTAACGCATTTCTTAAAATTCCTAACGTCCCACAATTTTAAAGTTTCGTCGCAACTCCTCGTCAACAAGTGGTCGCCAACGTGCGAAAAACAAATGCTGCTGATGTCTGTTGGCAAATGAGCCTTGCGCATTTGACTGGCCGGCGCCACGGAACTTTTGCGAAAATCCCAGAGCTGGATGGAGCCGTCTGCGCAGCCGCAGGCAATCACTTTGCCGTCGCGATTGAAGTTTACCGCGGTGGGAGAGACTTTCAGGCCGTTCTGCGCTCGGCATTTTATGAGCTGTTTGTGTTGCTTGCCCCCAGTGTAGAAATCCCAGGTTCTAACAGTTCCTAAAACAATTAAAATTATATAGAAACTACGTCACTGTGCTTCAAACAATTGGTTTAGATGTGCTCCACCCAGGCACCAACAGACTGCTTCGACCTCATCAGTGCCAGGTAGCCGTGTGGTGTGGAACACAACTGAACAAACTGCCATCAGCTACAGCAGTTTGTTTTAGATGTGTTTAAACAACATTTCATGCTTAACTACGGTTTCGCGAAAGGATCGAACGGTTGATTTGCAAGGTTTCAAGAAATCGATTGAAACTTGTTTACCTTATTTCTACACCTAAATGCAGTACTTTTCTCAAAAAAAATCTCGTCCATTGACAACTTTGTTTTTATTTTTATTTTTTTCTTCACTGTGTTAAAAATGAAGAAATTTCATTTTTTTTTAAATAACTTTTTTATTTCAAAACGTATCGATTTGAAATTAGGACAAAATGTAGATCTTTTAGTCCAGTCATCTAGGCATTTCACCTCGGAATCTAACGGAATAAGCTGAATTTTTGTACAAACCTTTATTTTAGCATTGCAAATGTTGTCTCAAAAGTCACATATGCCAACGTGTGAGCGGCCTTAGATATTCAAGGTCAAAGGTCGCAAAAATCATTTTTTTGAGAATATCTCATTTTCTCTGCCTCCTATCGTATTTGCATTTATTATACAAGTTGTAGAGAATAAAATTCTCTACAAATTTTGTTTAAAACTTTTTTTTATACGTCTAATTGTTTTTGAGATAGAGGGCGCAGAGTGTGTTTTTTTAATTAATTATTTATTAAATATTACTTAAATAACACTTTAATACCTTATATTTATTTTTATATATTTTTTTAAAACAAATAGTCATTAAATATTACTTACTTTTGACATACAAATAATTAAATAATGAAGTGAATCATTTTAGATATATTCTAATGTTATTCTAATTAATGATAAATGCATTTTAAGAAGAAAAGACATTAAATGAATTTGCCTTGAATATGTCTCTGGTCATCTCTTGGATCCAGATATTGCTTTTAAAATAACAGACCTGCAAATACTATAGAGGGCTTGCTATAAATAAAAAGGTTAGGTATACCCACAGACACAGGTCTGTGGGTATACCTATAGGTATATACTATCGCTAACAAAAAAAACTCATACAGCTATATTGTGGCTGTGTGAATAAAACTTTTCTGTCAATGTCAAGCTGACATCGAGCTTTGTCACATCCATTATGACTTTTTTAACATTTTTAACCAAACAATGCAGACGAACTCTGGCAAGCCATTGAAGCCATTTGGAACGAGATAAAGCAAGACGGCGACTTCCATGCTTTGCCGTTTGCGGGCAGTAATTGACAAAAACAGAGGGATGACGAAATATTATTTTTTTTTTAAACTTCAACCTAACTTTGTATTTAATTTTAGACCTTTCAAATGTGACGTATCATGTTAAAAGCCATAATTACTCCAACGAAATGATAGAAAATCAGGAACACTAGATTCTTAAGCTGTATGAGTTTTTTATGTTGTTATGTACTACATATATATATTTAAAGCAAAATGTGACATGGCTGATTTGTGTGTTATTTGTAATAAGTTACTTTCTGAAGGTGATTCTGTGACTTTTGGGCGCGGTATAAAGACTTGAAAAGAAGCAATTATTGAGAGAAATAAACATAAACTACCTAAATACTCTGACTTCTGTGAACGTTCATATTAAGTGTCGAAAATTGTACGCTATAGCGTACTATATAGTAAAATTGCAGCAGCAAAACGTCGCCTCGTAAAAAAGGGAATGATGTGTTTGATTTTAAAATATTGTGCTTATTTTGTGGTGATGATTAGGCAACAAAGGCAAAAAAAATCTGCAAAGTACAAACGCGTTATAAGTAAGTTTTTGAAGATATGACAATTAATGTCAATGATAACGAGGAGAGTGATGATGAGATGAGTCTATACAAGTATAAGGTATTAAATTTTTTTTTAGTAATATTTATTATATAATTAATTAAAAAAACGGTTTAATAGATTGGGATTCACGATTTACCTTGCGCTAAAGGTACGTATAGCCATATATGGCTGAGCGCTCCACACTCTGCGCCTTCTATCTCAAAAACGGTTCGACGTATAAAAAAATTTTGTAAACAAAATTTGTAGAGAATTTTATTCTCTACAACTTTTATAATAAATGCAAATACAATAGGAGGCAGAGAAAACGAGATATTCTCAAAAAACTGATTTTTGCGACCTTTGACCTTGAATATCTAAGGCCGCTCACACGTTGGCATATGTGACTTTTGAGACAACATTTACTAAAATAAATGTTGTCACAAAAATTCAGCTTATTCCGTTAGATTCCGAGGTTGATCCCTTTTTTTGACTAAGATGACTGTACTATTTGAATTTTGTTTAGATTGTAACGTACAGGGGGCGCTGGTGATAATTTAATTAAATTTAACAATTTTTAAAGGGTAAATAATCAAAGAAGTAACTGTTTTATAAATTTGAGTATAACATGTATTGATATTTGACTATTATTATATTTGATATATTATGCAAATGATGTTTCTGTGGCCAGGATCAGTTTTGAAATAGAAGTAGCAGTATTAATAAATGTTTAGTTTAGTACATTTTGTCATTTTTATACGAATAGTGTTGTATCTTTTATTATTAATTAAGTATAGCATAACACATAAATGACGTTTAATATACAGGGTGTTTCACGTACGTAGTCCGATAGAAGTTTCTAGGGAATCGCGAAGGTCATCGATTTAAAATTTTAATAGCGTAAATTATTCGATTTAGACTTTTTTTCTAAATTTTTTGAACAAAATAATAATTCCTGTTTTAAACAGGACGTCTCATAAATTTTTACATTTTTTAATTCTACATAAAATGGCTATACCATATCCTATACTATACCATATCCTATAGGTATAAAGCGAGGGTATAAAGTCAATATTTTTCGAGTTATTAATTTTTCAATAAATTATTTTAATTAATTTTAAACAATGACAGATTTGGTGGTAATAACATTAACCCACATGTAGAATTTCACAGGTTTGTTGATACAAAATAGTATTGAAAATATTAGGAATTGTTAAATGTCTCTGAAATTTTAACTTTGGGAAACAGTTATTATAATACAAATCGAAATATTCTTTAATTTTCTATTTGATTATGTTAAAACATACAGGGTTTTACATTTATAATAAAAACGTTATTATTGTTTGAAGTTTGCCTAATTTCAAGTGGTTTTTCTCAAGCTATTTGTTGAAAAAATTAAATTATTTAAAAAATGTTTTAATATTCCAAAAATTCCAACAAACATAATAACAAAAAAATTAGAGGCTAGGTAGAAACATAAACAGTAGAGTGACTTAAGGCCTAAAAGCCTCAGCGGTCAATGGATGAAATTTTAGCTTGAAAAAAATGCACCATTTAGATGTAGAAACAAGGTTAAAAAAATATATTCAATTCTGGCATCACTTGCAAACAAAATTTGTTTAATGTCCAAAATTTGTTCAAACCATAGTTAAATAACATGTAATAATTTATATTCCACGCTACTCGGGAATTTTTGTAGCGTCCGTTACAATAAAAAATTGTGAGTAAAAGCTACCGTAATTAAATTAAATACTGTTACAATAGTTAATATTGCACACATGTTTATTAGGCTTGTAATAATTGGGCTAAAACTTAAAAGCATAATAATTACGGTAGTTTTACTCACAATTTTTTATTGTAACGGACGCTACAAACATTTCCGAGTAGCGTGGAATGGCTGATTTGTCTTTAAACAATTAAAATTTAAAAACCTCTTTGGGCCAAAAATTGTTTTACATTTTATATAAAATGAGAGATATCTCTTTAAAAATTTATTTTAAAAAAGCTACATATTCTTAATATCTCAAAGTTTGAATGCACACAGCCAAATGGCATCACACAAAATTTGTATGATTACAAATGATAAAAAAATCACTTAGGTATTGTTAAATCCTTACCATCTGCACTGGTTGTAAGAAATTCTTCCTTAACAATTGGATTCCAACATCCAGCCAACAAGCCAGCAGTATGGCCTTTAGTCCTGGCCTGGTCTGTAATATACATATCCCCCTTGACAGTTTCCAATTTTTCAAACCCATCTCTATCGATAACCTTGGCCTGACTGGCCCCCGATATAACCAAAAGCAAATCTCCAGTGCTTGAATAATGCAAGCCTCTAATAGGGTGGTTATCAGCGGGTTGTAATGTTCTAAAGCTTCTCATGTTAGAGTCCATTCCAGCAAAATCCCAAAAACTAACATCGTAATCCACTGAACCAGAAGCTAACCTAGCTCCACTGGGATCCACACTTAAAGCTGTCACAGCTTTATTACCATGCACCATTGCTGCTTCCTGTGCACAAGGTATAAATAACTTATCAGTTGTTTCTTCTTCATCACTATCATTGCTATCACTGTTTTCTTCTTTTTTTTCTTCTTGTTTGCTTCCCTGCATTAAATTATCCGGCAATGGGGGTCCAATAAAATCTTCGTCGTCACTATCTTCTTCTTCGTCCAATTTCGCTTCTTCAGGTTGTTTTGTTACTTCTTTTGCTGTTTTTTTTACCTGCTCCATCATTTCTTTTATGTCAAACGACTTGGCTTTTTTGCCAAAAGACGCGATTCCCATGACATTTTTCAAATTTTGCTGCTCTGTGTCCTCTTCCAATACTTCAATAGCCTTAGGGGGCCCAAATGTGCCAATGGAGCCAGTTGCTTCTATAGGTTTGGAATTTTGGCCAAAATTTGCGCTTATTTTACCAAAACTAATTTTTTTACTCATTTTTAATACTTTTAATCAAATCAAACCATTTCTATAACATATTATTTAGAATATAAACTTTAGAACGCACTAAATTGATTTACAAACACAATCATAACCTAAGCGCGGCGAAACATCAACTTGACAACTTAAGGTTATGTTAGCATATAAAAACATACAAAAACCAACATGTCAATTACCTTGGACATAAAACTTAAACGAGTGGATAAAGTTTATCATGAAGGGGTAACGTTAATGATAGTATTTTTTATGGTTAAATTAATTAAATAACTTCTTAGGATAACATCACAGGGGTTATTGTGGTGACGTCAAATTCCGATTTTTTTAAGCATGAAGGAATTACTTTAACAGCAGAAGGTTCAGTAAATTTACAAATAAGTTCCAAGAATGTAGGGATTATAGAGGCATTTTACAACTCGATAAAAGTATATAAACAATTAAACATAAAAAATTGGTACAATAATATAATTTTTAGCCTATACAATTGCTGTCAATAACTTGTGATGTAACTGGTAGTGGTAAATTGCCAGCTGGCACAACTCAAATTCCATTTGAAATACCTTTAAAAGCAAAAGCTAATCAATATTTGTACGAAACCTATCATGGTGTTTATGTAAATATTAGCTATGCTTTAAGGTGTGATGTAAAAAGATCATTTTTATCAAAAGATTTACAAAAGCAACAGCAATTTTTAATTCAATATAAACCTGGTAAAAATCCAAATCCCCAAATAATTACTGATGATTCCAGAAGGATTACATTTGATCTCAGTCCTGCATCCCTTGCATCTGGAGGAAATGGTATAATATACCATAATTTTTGTCAATATTATTAATTTTTTTTTAATACAAACTCTAGGGGCACCAGATTTCTTATTAAATGGAGAGTTTGAAACTAATTGTTGCAATATTACCAAGCCTTTCAAAGGTTTTCTTTCTTTGATAAAATGTGCAGTTCCTATAAGGTCCATAGAACTACAGTTGGTAAGAGTAGAAACTTGTGGATGTGCTGAAGGATATGCAAGGGAAGGTAATGCAGCTTTTCCTAATAAGTGTGTTTTTTGCATTAGTGTGTAAAAATGCATATTTCTGAGATACCTACTTAAATTATTTTTTTCAGCCACTGAAATCCAAAACATACAAATAGGAGATGGAGATGTCTCACAAAAAATTAATATTCCTATTTATATGATATTTCCTAGGTTATTTACCTGCCCCACATTAATCACAAAGAATTTTAAAATCGGTAAATGATAACTCCAAAATGTTTAATTTTACTAAAATAAATATTTTTTAGAATTTGAAGTCAATATAGTGATAGTTTTTCAAGATGACCATCTTGTAACAAACAATTTCCCCATAATTTTGGTCAGGGAATGAAACTTGATTACATTAATATTAATATAATATTTTATATTTACTTATTATACTTAAAACTTATAAAAAATACATTTATTATATCCTTAAAATTATTTAAATTAAATTATGATTCCGCCACAGCCAAAGTAAGTGTGGATATAATTGGATTTATCTGATTTTGCAATGCCAATATGTGCCCTGTATTGCAAGTATCACTAGTAATAAATGTAACAATGAGTGGTAGTTTGTTCATTTGTATAACCTGATACTGTGCATACGAGCAGATCAAGGTTCCAGTTTTGCCCAAGCCCAGCTTGCTGCCCTGGTCAATAGCCAATCCGAACGTCGATATAAAATTGGGCCGCAGTGCATTTTCGGGGGCTTTGTCTGTGCCTACTTTTAACAATGGAACACCGTCTCTATCGGTTATCAGAATGCAGTGAAGGCCTTGGATTTTTTGCAGAATGTCTTGCAACAGTTTTCTTACTTCTTCAACCATTATTTTAGGATAAAATAACTTTTAAATTTAAAAACAAACTAAACATATGATTTTTGACAGAATGTGTATTTTTGACATTTGTGCAACGCCTTCGCGCAGTTGCCACGCATGGTTGCCACGTCTATTGAACAGAATTGTAACACAGAGAAGTGCCAGAAATATAAAAATATCTCTGGTTAAATGCACATTTTGTTCATTGACAATTTATATAAAACATGTACCTGCGTATTAACAGCGGACGCGTAACGTCTCCTCTTATGTATCGAAGCGAATTCGCTTAGTGTTGAAAAGCTGAACCAAAATGTCATTGTCATAACCTCGAAACGACAAGTTTGTTTTGTGTTTTTGTTAAAATATCTTGAAGCGTCATGTAAAATACGATGGCAGTTCGTTTTGCGTTGGGTTGTATAAGTTGTATTTAATAAAGTGACGAAAATAAAGAGCCTGAAATAAACTTTCCCATAAAAGAACCTTTTACAGGTAACATAACCTAGCTTTTTGAATACTTAAAATTCGCTTTTATCTATACAGGGTGTCCGGGAAAATGTGGGAAATATCTCGGATTCAGATAGAACATGAAAAAATAAGATGACACGTTCCTATACGGAGACATGGGCCCCGAAAGGACTCCCCTGCAAATTGGTTTTCCTTGAATAACTTTTAAAGAACTAAATATAATTTAATAAAAATTTTGATGGACCCTGGTATGGACCTCTTAAAATAGTGTCATTGAAACATGTTTTGCTTTTTTTTGTTTACCAGGAGCGGGCTAAGTTTTACTTCTTAATGCTTAAACTTTGAACACCCCGTATGACAAATACTTAAAAAAAAACATAATATCGTCTTTCAATTTAAGGTAAACAAAAAAAGCAAAACATGTTTCAATGACACTATTTTAAAAGATCCTTACCAGGGTCCATCATATTAAATTTTTATTAAATTATATTCAATACTTTAAAAGTTATTCAAGGAAAACCAATTTGCACCCAGATAGCACAAAGAAGTACTAAAAACGTCCTGAGTATATCTTGTATCAGACATTAGTAAGTTCCGAGTACGTCCGAATCAGGTCCTGAACCTTCCCCAGGACGTTCCAGGGACATCCGATGTTACCAAATCGTCGGTCCCCAGAACGTCCTAAGAAAGACATCCTCTGGCCATCCTGAAATGCTTTATTGGGGACTAATGGACAAGCTTTACAGAATTGAAGAGTGGTATTCCCAAAGGCCCAGACAGCAATATGACGTCTTAATTAAGACTTATTTTATTAATTTGTTAAATGGATTTTATTAAAATCATTTTAATAATTTGTTCGTATTCGCTTATTTTAGGAATTGCGATTACTTCGTCCCACTTTTGTTTAAATTTAAGCGTGCTCTTCACCGGCACCGATAGATGGCCTGTTACCCTCTTTTGGAGCTCGTCAGTATCGGGTAGCCGTTTACCTAGGTCTAAGACCGTTTGGTATGAAGCACGTTCTAAATTCTACTTCGCCGCTTCTTATATCAAACACAAGCAGTTACAGCGGTGAGAAGAAAGAATCGCATTAAAATGTCATAAATGTGACGTCTCCATGATGACGTCTTAAAAAGTTAATAATATGTACAAAAAAACTCATACAGCTATATTGTGGCTGTGTGAATAAAACTTTTCCGTCAATGTCAAGCTGACACACAGCAAACGAAAAATTATAGAAGTGTATAGGATGACTCCGCGTTTGAATATCAAATCTTAAAGTTTTATCATAACTGTATTGAATCGTGCTTTGTTTTTATATTTTTCGGCTCTATACCTATGCACGACTATATTTAAAGTCAAACTCAATGGTGTCTTACAAGATACATTATTTTGATTTTCTATATTCAACAGAGGAGTAGAAACTCGACCCTGTCGAATGGTGCAGTCATATATGTCTCTAGAAATTATTAAAAAAGGGTTCAGTCCAATGGTGCAGCAACTTCGGATTCCTATTCTCCTCAGAGACATAGAAACTCAAGCTTTTCGAATTTTACTGGCAATGATTTTCGTTAATGTCCCCGAGAATTATACAAAAACAGCGCAATGCAATATCGCAACGGTTTCGACTTCTCTTTACTCTACCAAGTTATAGAAACTGGAGTCTCTCTAATACTGTTCTAGTCAATATTTCTGAGAGTATAAAAAGAGGGTGTAATATTGCAAGAAGTTTTGATCTTTTGATGGATGAATTTTCTCATTTCTCCATATGATTTTGTTGAAAATAGTTCCTTTCTTTGGTTCCTTTGTCTGATTTTTATTTACCGTAACAACTCAGGTATGTAAAGCACAGAGGATATGATGTTAAGTATATTTATGTATTATATAAAGTACCTATATTTGTATTAAAAATTTAAGAGGTTATGTTGAAAAATGATCGATATGCTATTAAACTTTAATAATTTAGTAATTAGGTCTGTTGGTAGACCCTGCACTATCTCCACTGGTATAGTTTTGTAATATTTAAATCTGGTTGATGAAAAAGTACACACCAGTGCAGGTTATTGTAGCATCTACGAACAAATGAATTAATGGCCCATTGGCAATTATTCCTTTAGAAAAAATATTCAACACAGCTTAATTAATTAATAAAATGAAAAAAATCACAATCATGTCGTATATAGTTTTTTTTTAAGCATAAAATAATTTTTATATTAATACTAGTTCAAAAGTAAAATTACGACCTCTATACTGTGGAGAGTATTGAAACGCTCGACTGACGAATACCACTCTATACCGTAGGGAGATTTAGAAATCGATATTCAAACGTGGCGTCATCCTATACACCTCTATAATTTTCCGTTTGCTGTGCATCGAGCTTTGTCACATCCATTATGACTTTTTTAACATTTTTAACCAAACAATGCATACGAACTCTGGCAAGCCATTGAAGCCATTTGGAACGAGATAAAGCAAGACGGCGACTTCCATGCTTTGCCGTTTGCGGGCAGTAATTGACAAAAACAGAGGGATGACGAAATATTAATTTTTTTTTCAAACTTCAACCTAACTTTGTATTTAATTTTAGACCTTTCAAATGTGACGTATCATGTTAAAAGCCATAATTACTCCAACGAAATGATGAAAATCAGGAACACTAGATTTTTAAGCTGCAGCTACATGTATGAGTTTTTTTTGTTAGCGATAGTACGTCCTTGGGACGTACCCAGTATATCCGCTATAATTTTCCCAAATAAGTAAGAGACTGGACGTACCCAAAACTTCCGATATAGGTCTAGGACGTTCGGACCTATGTGGGACCCGAAATGGACGTCCTGGGTACCTCTTGTGCTATCTGGGCAGGGGAGTCCTTTCGGGGCCCATTGGTTTTTTCTACTCCTATTATGGACTATGACCGTTCTAATATCACTTTTATCTATGGAATGACGTTTATTCCGTAAAGTGTTACAGAATGAAATATTCTATCATCTGATGACAGAATATACACTCGTGGCGACATCTCTGTTTTTAATATCTAACAAATTTTAGACCGATCCAACCTTACTTTCTTCCAATTAAATTATTTGTCTATGGTATTTTTTGGAAACGTAAAAAAAGTATAGTCTGAAACACGTTTGGAATTGCATATTCCGCTCTCGTGAAACCGTCAAACTCGCCTTCGGCTCGTGTGACAAACTCTTCACTCGAGCGGAATATGCTGTATTCCAAACTTGTTACAGAATAAACTATTCTCTCAGTAAATTGAAAAGACGCATAAAATTGAAGCTTCTATGCTGAGCAACGTTGCCGTTTAGCAACCTGTCGTTTCGCACCTCGCTTTCGTTTGACCACAGAACACATCCCCCTTGTGGAAATTTTTCTCTGAAAAAGTTTTAATAAGTAAAAATAAGAGTTTTGAAACTCTTATTTTTACTTCCCTGTTGAAAATGACCAGTAGAAACATATAGAATCCGTACAGTGTTTCTATATGTTTTTATAGTTTGTTATATGACACTATGGATTCAATATGTAATCAGTATTATGAACTGTATGTGTTTATATGGTTTTATATGACAGAAATTTATATGAAAATCCATCTTAAATCATATATGAATGAATATGAATTTATAGGTAATAAATTGTATATGGTCAGTTTTTTATATGCCTGTGTAGAAATGAATATGAATATGGTCTTATATGTAATGTCTGTTTCAAAAATCATATAGTATCATATTGGAACCAGCAGGGATTTTTCATATATGATTTTATATGTCATTTACAACAGGGTACCCTGTCCCTGTTGTAAATGACATATAAAATCATATATGAAAAATCCCTGCTGGTTCCAATATGATACTATATGATTTTTGAAACAGACATTACATATAAGACCATATTCATATTCATTTCTACACAGGCATATAAAAAACTGACCATATACAATTTATTACCTATAAATTCATATTCATTCATATATGATTTAAGATGGATTTTCATATAAATTTCTGTCATATAAAACCATATAAACACATACAGTTCATAATACTGATTACATATTGAATCCATAGTGTCATATAACAAACTATAAAAACATATAGAAACACTGTACGGATTCTATATGTTTCTACTGGTCATTTTCAACAGGGGTTGTAAATGACATATAAAATCATATATGAAAAATCCCTGCTGGTTCCAATATGATACTATATGATTTTTGAAACAGACATTACATATAAGACCATATTCATATTCATTTCTACACAGGCATATAAAAAACTGACCATATACAATTTATTACCTATAAATTCATATTCATTCATATATGATTTAAGATGGATTTTCATATAAATTTCTGTCATATAAAACCATATAAACACATACAGTTCATAATACTGATTACACATAACACAAAAATATATATAAAATATTAAATGAATATTTTTGCTAAATGAACTAAATATTTTAGAAATATTATTCATTTTCATTTAAATGTCTATAAAATGTTTTTACAACATTTAGATGTCCCACTTTTTATATTTATACAATATTTTTCCGCAACATTTTTAAAACATTTTTGTAAATGTTTTATATAGGTATATTACCTTATATTTTATTAATGTTTTCTC